TCTAAAAAATAATAATGCAACTATTTTATAATAGGCCACATAAATGTCACGTAATTAAAATAAAAAAAATTAATTTTTAATTATAGGTCTTGCAAAATTGCCACATCATCATTAAAACAAATAAGTTTCAAGGCAATTGAAACCTTTAAGGTTATTACAAGATACAATAGAAAGGCTAGGGATCATGGATTTTAGATATTTAACCAATTAGAATAATTAACCACATTAATGACTAATTTAACAAGTAATAATTTTTGTCCAATTTGGACCTTATTTCATAACCTTTTTGAGCGTAATGAATTTTGGGATCTCAATTGTGAATTTAGTGAAAGTACAGACCTTATTCAATGTTTAGCCAAATTTTAAAATATGCAGTTTTGGCTAATTCTGAATAACAACCCAAATTAAACCAAAAATTTTCAATTAATTAGCACTAGTTCTGAATAATAAAAGTGATGACATGTTCCCAAAAAAATGTGTTTAATAGCACAGCAAGTATAATCAACTGAACTTTTCAATTATTAACAACTTTAAACGGATATTTAGTCAATAGTCATTTAGTGTTAACAATGTTAGACCTAACAGCTTTTGTCTAATTGTGACTTTATTTGAGAATTTCAATTACTTTAATGTTTTGTTTGAGCAAAATAGAATTTTGAGACAATTATGAATTTAGTGAGAGTTTGGAACCTTGTTCATTACTTAAGCCATTTGCATATTTATTTAATTGGATGAATATATCAGCCGCCAAACAAGGAGGCGAAAGGAATAAAATTAGTATTTCAACTAGCTTATTCATTTACATAATATACAAATTTGTTTGTTTCCCATTTCCTTTGGTAATATATGGTTTTATACCTCCTATATATGGTTGGAATTGGTAATTTACTTTGATGAGAAGGAATTGGTAATTTAATTTAACTTTTTTTTTTATTGTTTATTTATGCTTTCGAATTTTCTGTTGACGAACACTAAAAGAAGTATATTTTTATTCACATTATTTATTATGTTTCAGGACCTTTTTTAATGGCAGATATAGTAGGGGCAATCTTCGGTGCATTGAGTTGCATTTGTAGTACTCCAACCTGCAACTGTATAGATCAACATAGAAATTTTAATGATGATGTGGATGAGCTGAGAAGAAAATTGGACAGTCTAACTAGCCAGAAACAAGATATAGAATCAAGAATACAAGAAGCAGAGGCTCGCGGGGGACAAATGGTTAGACAACAAGTGCAAGAATGGCTTAAGCAAGCAGAAGAGATCAATGTTAAACTGCGAGCATTTTTGGAAAAGGTGCAGGGAGTCAAGTGGTACAAGCATGCTTGTTTTGACAGACTTGTTTGTAGAAAAATTAATATGGTGAAGGAAATGCTCGATAAAGGTGGTTTTCCTGAAGGCCTTGTTATTGAGAGGGCTTCAGCTCATGGAAACATAATTCCAACAGAGAATTTAGTGGGGGAAATTTCTACTAAAGAAGAAATTTGGAGGTACTTGATGGGTGATGAGGTTGGAATGATTGGAATTTGTGGGATTGGTGGAGTTGGAAAGACTACAATTATGGAGAATCTCCACAATGATTTACAAAAGGAGACTAGATTTCAAAAAGTGATCTGGGTTACTGTATCACATCCTCTCAATGTTTTTAAATTACAAAAGAAGATTGCTAATGCGATGGGTGAAAGACTTCGAGACGATGAAGAGGTGAAGATGTGAGCAGCAGCATTAATGGAAATAATGACAAGAGTGAGGTATGTGGTAATATTAGATGATGTATGGGAAAAGTTCTCTCTTAAGGAAGTTGGAATTCCGGATCCGAATGTGCAGAATGGATGCAAAGTTGTTGTCACTAGTAGATCAATTGAAGTATGCAGTTATTTGCATTGTAAGATTGTTAAAGTGAAACCTCTTTCACAAAAGGAGTCTCTAAAGTTATTCCTCGATACAGTTGGGGATGGTGTTTTGCAAGTTCCAGGGTTGGAGGAAGTCTTAAAGCTTATTGTGGAAGAGTGTGCCGGCTTACCACTGGCCATTGTTGTGATAGCTGGGAGCATGAGGGGAGTTGATGATGTTAATGTGTGGAGAAATGCACTGACTGAATTACAAGTTCGTGTAAGTAGTGTGAAAGATTCAAATGATGAGATATTTAAGCGGTTAAGATTTAGTTTTGATCGGTTGGATAGTTTGCAAGTCAAGAGTTGTTTTCTTTATTGCTCCCTCTTTCGGGAGGATTATGTGTTTTCTAGAAGGGAGTTGATAGAATGTTGGATTGATGAAGGACTAATTGATGGGTTGCCAAGTAGAGAAGCAGCTTGTAATAGGGGCCATGCTATTATAGATAGGCTCGAAAAGAATTTCTTATTAGAGAAAGAAACTTTTCGGTCATCTGTTGGATTTCCATTTAATAGTGCTGGTGCTAAGATGCACGATGTAGTGAGAGACATGGCTATCATAAGCATTGGTCCTGAATTTGGACATATGATAAAAACTGGTATGAATTTGGTAGAGCTACCAAATGAGCATGGTTGGGTAAAAGATACTAAGAAGTTGTCTCTAATGGAAAATAACATTTTGAAAGTTCCCCTTAGTCTGCCCTCAAAGTGTTTGAGCCTTTCGACTTTGATATTATCAAGTAATCCTAATTTGTCAGAGATTCCAGAATCCTTTTTTGGAGAGATGCTTGCTTTGAAGGTTCTTGATCTTTCTAACACTGCTATTGAGACTTTACCTAATTCCATCTCTAAATTGGAGAATCTATCTGCCTTACAATTACAACATTGCATGAAGTTAAAGTACTTGCCTTCCTTGGCAAACCTCGGGGGATTGAAGAAGTTGGACCTACACGAGGCAGGGATTGCGGTGGTCCCTCAAGGCATGGGGATGTTGATAAGTCTTGAATATCTTGATTTGTTATTTTGTCGAAATCTGAAAGAGATTCCAATAGGAATATTACCCAACCTTTCTAATCTCTAGTACTTGGCAGTATGTTGTTTGCGAGAAACTACAATAATAAGAAATTTAGAAGAGGTTGCTAGATTGAAGAAGTTGGAGACTTTAGAATGTCAATTTGATGGCATACAAGACTTTAATCATTTTGTCAACAAGTTCAAAGATTTCCAAAGTGCTACTGCTTACAATCTTGGAGTTGGGACAGCAAGAGACATGACAAGACGGAGCAAATATGAGCTTGTAATTACTGAATGCGAGATCGGGGAAGAATGTGTGGTGCTTCCAAATAACCTTGAGGATTTATGGATAATTAGGGGTAAAAACATGCGAAGCATCTTGAAAAAAACAGTTGTGTTAGAAATGGAAGCAAATGAGTTGAGACGGTGCCTTATTTGGGAAAGTGAAGAGATGGAGTGCGTGGTTGACTTGGACTCATCCTCCTCTTCCTCATTGTGTTGTCCAATACTTGATAAGCTTGAACTGCTGCACCTTCTGATATTGCCTAAGTTATGTGAACTTGTGAGAGTGGAAGGAGCAACAACACCACCACACATCCTTTCCAATCTTAAAACACTTATAATAGATTATTGTTCAGGAATGAGGAAATTGCTTCCACTTGCACTACAGCAGGCTCTCCAAAACTTAGAGGAGATTAGAGTTTTCAATTGCGAACAAATGGAGGAGATAATAGCATCATCAGATTCAGATGCATCATCAGATAAATTCATTTTTCCCAAGTTAAGGATATTGCGGTTGATTAATTTACCACAATTGAAGAGCATCTGCAGTGCCAAAGGAGTTGTGGTTTGTGATTCTATTGAAAAAATTGTAATATTCGAATGTCAGGAGTTGAAGAGGATCCCTGTGCAGCTTCCCCTGCTTGATAATGGCCAACCATCTCATCCTCCTCGTCTCAGAGAAATCAAGATAGATAAAGAATGGTGGGAATCAATGGAGTGGGATCATCCTAATGCAAAGAACCTCCTTAAACCTTTCTTGAAATATTCTCGCTATCCGTGGGAGGTTTAATTCTACTTTGAATTTGATTTGATAATACATTACAGTAAATTATTGAAAATTTGGGAAATAATTTGTGTAGTGTGAAATGAAGAGCTGTAAACTGCAAATACAAAGGGAGTTGTTGAGTAGATAAATCGCAACTTTCCAGAAATTAAAGTCACGTGCCATCTCAATAACACGTGCCAGTAAAAGCAATTTCGCGGTTTGTTCATTCTCTCCCCAACAAAAACAATTGGGTATTCTAGAAGAGAAAGAGATCAATGTTTCTGAGATGGAGACCCTAAATGGGTATATTCTGGAAGACAAAGATATGCAGCCTTTTGTCATGGTACGCAAGTTTGAGGGCCGAAGTCAAGGGCATCAAGGCACGGAGCTACGGCCACGTCACAGAAGGAGTGTGCAGCGTCCAGGGGGCATGCCATACAGCGTCGCAAAGTGCAAGCGCAGACACGAGGGCAAGCACAAGCACAAGCACAGGCATAAGCATGGGTGCAAGCGGAAGCATGGACGTGGGCATGCACGACGTAGGTGTCAGTATCGTGACACGGGGTTGCGATTACGACACCTATGCATGCGAGGGCATAAGCGCAAGGTGGAACGCTCAAGACGCAACGGGCCTTGCTAGTGGAGGCATCGATGCTAGGGCCGTGGCATGAGGTTACGGATAGGACACGCGGGAGTAGTCGGGGGCGACATGCGAGAGCGTGCAAGACTGTCTTGGCTCGAGACACGGGTGCCCACACGGGCAACTGGGTCTAGACGCTGGCATGCAGGGGTGCGATCAGGTTTAAGGCATTGGCGCACACAGGAGCAGCCAAGAGTGTCCACAGAGCGTGCAATGCCAGCAACGGAAGAAGTGTCAATATGCGAGAAATACACGGGGTTATGGTGTCGACACCTTTGCGACAGACTGAAGCAGTCCAGAACTCTCTAGAAGCTGCTGGGCGCACGAGAATAGTTCCATACAGGGGTCTGGAAGGGCTTGTTGGGCCAAGCTCGACCTGGGAAACTCCTAGGGCCTTGTACATAATTCTAGAATGGGTTGTTCTAGAATAATGTAGGACTAGGTTAGAAGGGAGAGTGGAGAAGGTTCTGGAAATTGTACATATGAGGGAATTTTGTGGAGTGTTCTAGAGACTCATCTGCAGAAGGGACTTGGGCCAAACCTCTTCTATAAATAGGGAGGCCAAATAGAAGAGGAGGCCAGCAAGAGTGGGCTAGCAAGAGAGTTGGCTGGCTAAAGAGTGAGCTGCTAGGTGAGTGAGTGCATAGAAGAGCTGTGTACTCAAGCTCTTGTACACTTCCTTGTGATCTTAATAAATTCTCTTCTTCTCCCAACTTCCTACCTTCATATTTACGTGTTGCTAACCTCCAGCACTGTGGGAGGGCCATGCCAAGTGTTGGGGAAGGCTGACTTGGTTCGGGTTTAAGGGGTTATTTCCGAGCTAAGTGCCTCACGGGGTCTAGCTAAAGTCTCGTTCCATGACACTTTGCTCCCTCAAAAACTCCAGCCAGTAAATGTTTAGATTTGACTATCTCTGATTGTAACTTTATTTAGTTTTTGTGTTTAGATTCATATTCCACTTTTCTCATCTAACGAGATAAAAAATTGTGGATGATAAGATTGTTTAATATATGTGGTTGGAGGAACATTAATATTATTTATTTATTTATTTATTTTATATACTTTTATTTAACCTTATCTAGATAGTCTTTTTTTTTAAAAAAAAAAAATCTATCATTTGCAATCTTGTGTTATTTTAGTTGTTGAAAGAAATTATTTCTATAGTTCCAAAGAAATCATCTGACTTTCCGAATAAATCACAAGCCATTGACAACATGTTCCAATAAAAGCCCTTACTCAATGACAGAAAGATTGGTTGGAAAATTACATGTTGAGTTGAAGAATCAGACCTCAAAGAAAGTGTCAGACATCCAAACACTAGGTATTTTGATTTGACCATTCCATTTCACTCTCTTCACCTTCTTTTGCTTCTTAATTTCTATCTATTCATAAGGGTTTTATTGAATTTTTTTGTTTTATATTTTGTTCTTTTTATAATTTGGTTTCGGGGTATGCTGGCAAAAAATGTGCCTCCTTTAATTGCCGGGTAAACTAGATCCAGTAAGGCCCCAAGGAGAGGAAGTTTTAGGTTTCTAGGTATGCTTTTTGGGTTCTTAATCTAAAAGCTTTGTACGAGAGAAAGTTTCTGATAAAAATTGGTACCATTTT